ATTATCAAAAACCAAAAAACATTTAAACACGCAGCTCATTCGTTTGTTCTTTTTGGCGTTTTCTGCGCGTGTTTTTTCTACTTTCTCGTCTTTACATGCCCCAACCCTCCCCTTCGATCGACTGGCCCACACGAGGAATCTTTTCGAGGACCCTGACGCGAACACTGGTCGCTTCTTCGCGGGACGAGGATCGCTTCTCCGCGAGACGAGGGTCGCTTCTCCGTGGGACCATGGTCGTTATCTTCGTGGGACGACGGTCGTTTAGGCGCGGGGCGGGGTGCGGCGAAGGGTGACCACTCCCGAGGGCACCGTTTGGCAGCAGCGGAGGTTGAGGTTCCGTCGGCCTTTTTCTGGACTATCCAGTTTTTTTGTAGTCCGACAAGCCCGCTCCAACGGCTCGCCGATAGCGTCATACGGTTAGCGCATGATGAACCTAGGTTTAAATCTCCGCAGAGACTTTCGCTGGGTTTTCACGGTTGCGTCAGTACCTTTCGCAATTATCGGCATCGATTTTCTTCGCCATTTCGAATTGCTTGTCGACGCGGGTCGCAACAGAATTTTAGATGATCATACGAAACTAAGGGTTGATGGCGTCCTTTCAGATGCCCCGGTAATCAGCCCTGTATTTCGGATCGCAGACGCACCGTCCGACTACTTGAGCCTCCTCTCCGAACACCCGCAATTGGTTCGACCGGCTGTAGAGCTTCCACCAGTCACGACAGAGGTCGCTCACCACATCGTTACGCGCGGTCAACCAGTTAGCGCACGGCCAAGACGGCTTGCTCCAGACAAACTACGGGCAGCACGAGCCGAATTTGACCACATGCTGCAACTTGGTATCGTCAGACCGTCCAACAGCCCATGGGCGTCGCCTCTGCACATGGTCCCGAAGAAGGTTGTGGGGGACTGGCGTCCTTGCGGCGACTATCGATCCTTGAATACAGTAACCACGCCCGATCGCTATCCGATACCACACATAGTGGATCTCACCGCCAGTCTGGCGGGTAAAAGTATCTTCAGCAAAATCCACTTGGTACGCGCATACAACCAAATTCCGGTAGCCGAGGCGGATATCGCTAAAACTGCCGTGACGACTCCATTTGGTTTGTTCGAGTTTCTGCGCATGTCTTTTGGTCTAAAGAATGCCGCGCAAACTTTTCAGCGTTTCATCGACCAAGTTTGTCGCGGCTTAGACTTCGCTTACGCGTATCTTGACGACATCTTAATCGCAAGCTCTTCACGAGAAGAGCACATACGCCACGTACGAACGCTTTTTGATCGTTTATCTCAACACGGGGTGACGAGCAACGCAGAAAAGTGTTCGTTTGGTGTCGATTCGGTTAATTTCCTGGGCCATCGTATCTCTTCTGCAGGCGTCGTGCCACTGCAGGATAAAATTCAAGCCATTATCGACTACCCCGAGCCTCATTCTTTCAAACAGCTCCGGCGTTTTGATGGCCTGGTCAACTTTTACCGTTGATTTATACCCAACTGCACCTCTCTGATGCAACCCTCACGGACCTTCTCCGAGGGAAACTAAAGACGTTCAAATTTCCGACCGCAGCACGCGCTGCTTTTAAGTCGCTGAAAGAGGCTATCACCAACATAGCTTCCATAGCGCATCACGATCCGACCGCCCCACTGTCCCTTATTACTGACGCCACGGACGTCGCGGTCGGCGCTGTTTTGCAGCAACGCGTAGCCGACACGTGGCAGCCCTTAGCCTTTTTCTCCAAACGCCTACAACCTACCGAATCTCGCTACAGCACGTTCGGTAGAGAACTACTAGCCGTATATCTAGCGATACGTCACTTTCAACACGTCCTAGAAGGCCGCTCCTTTGTCGTCTTCACCGACCACGAACCCCTGACTTACGTGCTCGGCTCGACTACCGACCGATACTCTCCTAGAGAGTCGCGCCACCTTGACTATATCGCTCAGTTTACGACCGATATACGGCATGTCTCAGGTGTGCACAACGCCGTCGCCGATGCACTTTCCCGCATTCAAGCTATCTCCGCTGACGCCGGCACTGCTATCGACTTGGCAGCCATGGCCACAGCACAACTCAACGATCCTGAGGTTGAACTACTACGCAGGTCTCCCTCATTGGATATACGACCCGTTCCGCTGCCATCATCAGACGGAACCATACTCTGCGATTTATCTCTGGGCACGCCGCGCCCTGTCGTCCCACGTGAGTTTCGGCAGACCGTGTTCGACGCGTTGCACGGCTTGTCTCACCCAGGCGTTCGTGCATCGGTTAAACTCGTAACCGCACGATTCGTTTGGCGCAACGTTAATCGGGACGT